AGTTTTTAAGAGGCTTGATAGGGGATTGTGTAATATAGCATGGCAGAAGCGTTTTCCTAATATGGCAGCAAGAGTTCTAGCTCGAGTGCATTCTGATCATCATCCGATCCTATTTGAACTGGATGTGTCTTCTAATCTCCCTTATAGAAGGCCATTCAGATTCGAGGCAATGTGGCTAACTCATCATGGATTTAAGGAGTTTTTGAGGAAGGAATGGAGTGAGGAGATGGAAGTTCAGGAAAATTTGGAGACCATTAAGAAGCCTCTGCAGTGGTGGAATAGGGAGGTCTTTGGACATATTGCTTAGAGAAGGAAGGTTTTGACAACAAGAATAGAGGGGATACAACGAAAGTTGAATGGAGGTAAGAACAAGTTCATGGAAAGTTTGGAATGTGACCTTGCTAGCGAGCTACTGGAGGTTTTGAGGCAGGAGGAGCTCTATTGGTATCAAAAGTCGCGAGGTGAAGGAAGATGTGCGAAAGAAGCTTATGGAGCAATGTGGGTTTCAAGAGATGGAGGAGCTGGGAAGATATTTGGGCTCCCATATTCACCAAGGGCGTAGGACGAGAAGTAAATTTCAGTTTCTTATAGATAAAGTGCAAAAGAAGTTAAGTGGATGGAAAGCAAATAGTTTGTCATTTGCAGGAAGACTTACTTTAGTGCAATCGGTCACTCAACAAATTCCAGTTTTCAGTATGCTTCATGAGGAAATCCCGGTTGGGAGACATGAGAGAAAGGAGGAAGATGCATACTGTGCATTGGGGAACTTTTTGTCTGCCGAAGAATGAAGGAGGGTTTGGATTGAAGGATTTGCGAAGGATGAATGAAGCGTTACTTTGTAAGACTGGGTGGGACCTTATAGCTAATCTTGAGAAATTAAATGCCAAGGTTTTGTATAGTAGATATGGCAGAAATGTGAATCTAACTGTGGAATGCATTGTCAAGAGTACAAATTCTGCTTTGTGGAAGAAGTTGGGGGCGCTCTGGCCTGAGATAGTAAAAAATGTAGGGTGGGAGGTGTGTGATGGAAGGAAAACTCGCTTTTGGGTTGACAAGTGGGTGGATAAGGAGGCTCCTCTGTCAGATCAGTGTACTAGTAGACCCCCACAAGAAGACTTGGAGATGCGTGTTAATGACTTTGTGATGAATGGTAACTGGAACAAAGAATTATTCGAGAGGCTTCTACCTGCAGATGTAGTGAGTAGAATTTTAACTGTATTACCCCCATGTTCGGAGGATGGAGGGGACAAGGTAGTATGGATGTGGGGGAAAGAAAAGCAGTTCAGTGTAGCAAAAATGTATAAGCAGTTATGTGGTTATGATAAGGGAGCTGATGATGGCTCATGGCGGTTGATTTGGAGTTAGGGAGGACCGAGAAGAATCCATATTTTTATATGGATGGCTACAGTGGATGGTTTGTTAACATCTAAGAGGAGAAACAGAGCTGGGATTGGATCTGCTCTGTGTTGCAGGTGCAGGAGGGAAAGAAAGACAATTTTGCATGCTCTAAGGGATTGTGAGATCTCTAAAACTATTTGGCAGCAATTGCAAGTAGGTAACTTTGTTGATGACTTCTTTATTTTACAACATAAAGACTGGTTTGTAAATAACCTAAAGATCAAAAGACATGTGAATAACTTGAGGGAATGGTGTCTTATTTTTGGTATCACCTACTGGTTTCTTTGGCTTTGGAGAAACCAGACCCTTTTCTCTAAAGAGTTTGATGATAGGAATATCAGTATTAATGCTATATGGAGGTATGTGCAGCAAGTGGAGGATAGTCGTAACGAATTCATGGATGGGAATAGGAAAGTATAGAGAATGTATGGGTGGAAGCCACCCGAAAATGGGTGGGTGAAGCTTAACATTGATGGTGCTGCAAAGTGGCAGCCTGGGGGAGCTGGATGCGGTGGACTGATTAGGAATGGGAATGGTGACTAGCTTGGAGGCTTTATGAATAACATAGGAATCTGTTCTGCGATGAGACACTACTACAATGAAGACTTTTTACTTCTGTTTTGCATGACTTTTTACTTCTGTTTTGCGGAGACATGAAAAGAAGGGACATAAAAAGTATCCCCTTTTTACTTCTGTTTTGAACATAAGAGAATAATGGTATTATTTACGTCTGTTTCGAATAGAAGTAAAAAATTTCTCCAAAAACAGACGTGAATTCATGTCTGTTTTTGGATAAACAGACATAAATTTATGTCTGTTTTGGTAAAACAGAGGTTAAAAATGTGTTTTTTATCATTCAGCACAGTCCCAATAAACATTAACCAAATTCAAAACTAATAATATCAATTGAATCCGATTTATTCAAATTACAACATAAAACATCTCATAATGACTATATCATCATGCCAATTCCTAAAATTTAAAAAGACATAAAAATTACTTTTACAAGTAGTGGAGATTTTACATATAACATAATAAAAATCCAAAAATTATTAGAACAAAGCTTTCCATTGACAAATAATTAATGCATAACAATCTTTTTAATCTTCAAATCCATTATCCAATTAATAAACATCCCATTTTTAAAGCTTCCTCTTGAATGTAATCAACATTCTAATTCAATGCATATAGGAAAATTCTCTTTTAGACATTTTAACAAACACTTTTGATGTATTAATTTTCAAACAAGTTAGTTAATATGGATTTTAAACTTCAAATCTATTATCCAATCAATGTAAACAAATTTCAACCTATCTAAATGCAATTTTTTCATTAATAATTTAATGTATACTCAATCCTTAATCTAAATTCAATACATATAGGAAACTATCTAAATGAAATCTCTCTTAGGCATTTTGACAAACACCTTGTATGCATTATTTTTCTAACAAGTATTAACAAGGCTTGAAATCTTTAAATTTTCTACCCAATCAATATATACAAATTTAAAACTATCTAAACACAATTCTTCAATAAAAGTTTAAACAGAAACCTTAGAAACCAACTCAAAATTCCTCAAGTCACACAAACCCACGTACATCATATTAAACCCACAACACATCCGTTGAATGAACTTACCTTCACTGTAGATTGAAACTATTCTGGCTTGCCTTCGAATCAGAAAGTATCACGGCTTGGAGAGACAAGGAGGACGGCAAGCTGCTGTGCGTGTGAACTTCACTGCTTTAGCCTTGTTAATCGACGGTGATGAGCAACTGCAACACAAAAATGATAGCTGATGCAGAACGACAACAATGGAGTGAGGGCTAGCTACAGAATAATGGCCTTGGAGAGCTGAAATGAGAGGGAGAGTTTCAGAGTAGCTCATGGTTGCTGTAGGTAGAAGACGAAAATGAGAGGGAGAGAGTGAAAAATCAAAGTTCCCGCACACGCTAGCCATTGGCTGGTGACTAAATTAGCTTTGCAGTACTGATATAAAGCTGATGAGGGCGAATTTTTAAAAAAAATAAGCCACCTTCACGTCTGTTTCTTTAAAAACAGACGTGAAGTAACGTCTGTTTGTATCAAACAGACGTTAATTCATGTCTGTTTGGAGAAAACAGACGTGGCTTCACATCTGTTTTCTCCAAACAGACATGAATTAATGTTTGTTTTTATTAAATAGACGTTACTTTGTGTCTGTTTTATGTAAACAGACATGAAATAATGTCTGTTTTGTGTAAACAGACATAAAAACTATATATTTCTCCTCTGTTTTTTAGAACAGACATAAATGAGGGAGGTAAATAACACATTTTGTTGTAGTGAGAGCAGAGTTTTGGGGTGTGTGGTCTGGATTTAAATTGCTACAGGAGAGAGGGTACAGAAGAGTAATTGTTGAATCTGACTCTCGCACTGTAGTCGCAATACTAAATGAGTTCCTTGTACAGAAAAGGACTGATAACAGATTTATGATATAGATTAGTAGATTGATATCTAATGATTGGGAAGTTAAGGTTGTGCATACATATAGGGAGGGGAATTTTTGCGCAGATTGGTTAGCCAACTGGAGTTTGTCAAAGGATCCTAGTCTGCAGTTGTTACGTGAACCACCAACTGGTTTACTTGATTTGCTGTATAGAGATGCTATGGGTGCTTGCCACCCAAGATTAGTTACTGATAGTGTTTGATTTTGGGCGTTTGCCCTGTTGTACACCAAAAAAAAATGATATAGGCAGTTTGGACTTAAAATCTAAAATTTATAATTTTTCAATGATGATTTTATTTTTTCAAAGAAGTGTAAGTTATAAAATTATTTTTATTTTAAATTATTTATTTATTAAAATAAAAATATTTAAAATATGTAAAAAAGTTCAAATTAAATTTGGATAATCCACAATCAATTTAGATGATCCATATTGATAAGTACTTCATGCGCTCATCTTCTTTTTGATGAGTATGGAATGTGCTCTTCTTTTTTGTTTTAAGGGAAAAAAAATTAAGCTTATTAATATTTTCTCTCTCCTCATCCCCTTCCCCACTCCCCTAGAACCACAAGAAGAAAAGGGATATCTTCCATTTCCACGTACACTGCTTTACATACAAAAAGTTGTGTCATTAGTTCATATTCATATTTATATTTTGCATAATTATATAAATTGTAGCTCATTTTTCACATAAGGAAAGTTTATAAATCAATTCAAAATATGATAAGGATGAATCACTCGCCCGACTTGCATTTAAAATGACTAATCCAAAAAAATGGGGTCACTGGCATTAAAAAGAAAATATAATTTGCAGATGCAATAAATACACAAAATTGACATGTGCATAGATTCTACTGTGCATCATGGTTTCGAAATTGCTCTAGGCATATAATCTAAAGATGCCTCCTTTGACATTTGCCTCCACATTCTATTGTTTAATGCGTGCATATATGTTTGGTCTGTTATTGCTCATTCCACTATAGCCTATTGGAGAGCTAACGTGCACAGTGCTTTTCTTATGCGTTTATAAACCAATCCCTTCCTTTCCCATCCTACGTACTACTATACTTCAATTCACCACCTTGTTCTCCATCGTACGAAAACATGAAGCATCTTGTTTCTCGTTTTATTTCTCTACCTGTTTCTCTTATCACTGTTACTATGTCTTTCTTTCGTGTTCTAGCCGTCCGCGTCAGTCCCTTTTACTTGGAACTCTTTTATTTCATACTCATGTCTGTCCTTGGCTTCCTTGGTCTCAAAATCTTAAAGCCAAGAGTCCCTGTTGCCCCAAGTAACTTGGATCTGTTTTTCACTTCTGTTTCTGCAGCCACTGTTTCCAGTATGACAGCTGTAGAAATGGAAGTTTTCTCTAATTCACAGCTCATTCTTATGACCTTCCTTATGTTTCTTGGTGGGGAGGGTTTCACTTCCATGCTTGGCCTTTTCTTTTCTTCCTCCAATCTTTACCAGAAACAGAGCCTCAAAAATAGAGTAACAACAACTCACCATATTCCTCAAGTTCCTAATCCCAATCACATCGAGATCGATTTAGTTTCTCTGAAAAAGCAGACTCAACTAGGTGTGGATGATCGTAGTGACAGTGATATTGTTCAAGATGATAAGTTGAGTGAACTTAAGCGTAGGTCTGTTAAGTGTCTTGGGTTTGTGGTTTTGGGTTCCATTATGGCACTTCACTTAGTAGGTTCTGGTTTGGTCTCAACCTACATAAGCATCATACCAAGTGCAAGAAGAGTGCTAAGAAACAAAGGAATTAGCATACAAACCTTTTCTGTGTTCACCATAATTTCCTCCTTTGCTTCTTGTGGTTTTGTCCCCACAAACGAGAACCTGATTGTATTCAAGCAGAATTCAGGTCTTCTTTTGCTTATTTTGCCATTTGTTTATCTTGGGAACACATTGTACGCGCCATTCCTGAGGCTTCTGATCTGGGTTCTGGAGAAAGTAATGAAAAGAGAAGAGTTCACTTATATTCAGAAGAACTATAAGGAGATGGGTTATGATCATTTGTTTTCTGGTGTTCATTGCTGGCTTCTTGTTGCTACTGTTTTCGGTTTCAATCTTATACAGTTCGTGCTGTTCTGCTGCACGGAGTGGAATTCAGAGAACATGGAGGGTCTAAATAACTACCAGAAACTGATTGCTTCGTTGTTCCAGATTTCAAATGTGAGACATGCTGGCGAGTATATTTTGGATTTCTCTCAACTATCTTCTGCCATATTGGTGCTCTTCGTCGCCATGATGTAAGTAATCGTCACTACTCTAACACTTATTTCCGTGGTATATTAATATGAAATAGCATTTTAAATGTTGTTGTGTTCAAGAGGCTACGTCTCATTATATTGGACATGAAATGACTTGGAAAAGACAAGTAGCCACATGTTGTGAAAGTTAGTGATGGTTGAATTTGAATAAGTATCCAAGGGGATTTGTCGCGTTTTCAGCCAATCGTAGCTAGCCACATCATATTTCTGTCAAGGACAATTACATGTACTATATATGTAGGCGTGTCTGGAAAATTCCTGGCTTTTTTGTTACGATTCTAAATCTAACTTGGAAAAATGATCTCTAGTCTCCATGGCAGCCGCATTGATTTGAATTCTCTGGTACATGGTATTCCACGATGTTTGGTGTGGTTTTTATGCAAGTTGCTTTCAGCTCTTAAAAGAACCCACTTGTGTTCCCTATTCTCTTTCTTTTCAGTTTGGACTAATAAAGTCATAATGGTACGAAAATGATTAGTTTTATTTATATTCTCTCCACCCATTGCAGTCCTTAACTGCTAAAAGCCTGTTGTTAATTAATCATTGTTATCATATGAAAAGGATTTCAACTTTATGATAGGTACAAGTGAGAGAAGGAACAACTGGAATTCTATGAACGTTTATTTAAAGAGGAAAATAATGCTGGATTCTCTGCAGCTTTATTAAGTACAATATTCAGAACGCTTTGTTGGTTATATTTTCCATCTAGAATATAATCTAGCTTTTCTAGCTTTACAGGAATGAGTATATATGGTAAATAGTTGACCGTGCAGCATATTACTAAGCAGAACATATAAAATGAATTTAAATATTCTGGCCAAGTATACTTCTTCTAACTCCATTTTTTTTTCCGTTCTTTAATATATAACAGGTACCTCCCACCATACACAACATTTTTACCCATAAGAGAGGACAAAAATGAGACAAAGAAAAGGATCAAAACAAGCGTAAAGGAGTATCTTTTGTTCTCTCAACTCTCTTATCTTGTCGTCTTCATTATTCTGATTTGCATTACGGAAAGCAAAAGCATAAAAGAAGATCCTCTCAACTTTAGTGTGTTGAACATTACTCTAGAAGTCATCAGGCAAGTGATTCTCTTACTATCTTTTAACTTGGCAAATTTTGGAAACATGTTAGAGTTTAATTAGAAACAAGCATATCGTGTATGCTAATGGAAAAACTTTTGTATGAAATCATAAAATGCAGTGCATATGGAAACGTGGGATTCTCAACGGGATATAGTTGCAAAAGGCAATTGAAAGCAGATGGAAATTGTAGAGATCTGTGGATTGGACTTTCAGGTAAATGGAGTAACAAAGGAAAATTCCTCCTTATAGTGGTCATGTTCTTTGGGAGGCTCAAGAAATACAATATGAGAGGTGGTCAAGCTTGGGATCTCTCTTAATTTCCACTATATGGGTGTACGTAGCTAGGTGTACGTATCAAAATCCAATGTGTTTGTATTGCAGTATGATCTCTCTTGTTTGTCCAGGAATTGCACATTGGCTATGATTGTAATTTTGTAAGCGATATAAATTTAATCTCAGCGCTTCTTATACGGTCCTTTTTGACAATATGAGGATTCTGTTACAAGATAGTTTTTTAATGGTTTAGTTTTTATAAAGCTAGCTAACAGAGTCGTGAGAAATCTAATAAAAGCATAAGAAACGTCTTCCAGGGGAAACAAACGAATACTTCTCAAAACTTAAGAGTTACAATAACATTAAAAAAAATAATTCACTTATTATATTAATAATTACAGTAGCTTTTAATGATATTAAATTTGACTAATTGTTAAAACTAAATATTTCTAATTGGGAATAAAATTCAGTAGTAACTAACAACCAATCGACACAAATTACACACGGTAAGACAAAATCATAATGATTGCAGATCGTGACCATTTTGGCACTAGAATTCAAATTTTTTTTTTCAGACATTTGTAGTGGTTTTTGTTAAATATGATTAGTTTTGATGATGACAAATATTAAGGAAAAAAGTTTGAATAATATATCTATCTCATTATTTGTGTAGTTTGGTCAAGAAAAGAAAAATGCTATCATGTTGAACTTCAGAGATCATTATATTGGATTATGGAGAATGATCAAGACTCAAGTTCTAAAGCTAAAGTAGCTCTTTGTTTTGCTCTGGTGTTCAGCTTTGAAATAAGTTAAGTATTTCTGCCATATCTTCTAAACCACGAATCAGTTTGAGATGAAACTAATTCATATGAAGCTGGACTCAAAATGTGGTTCAAAGACACCAAGATCAACTTCAAAGAGCTTCATTTGAAGGAGGTATGCCATTCAAAACATGATGCTTAATTGAACATATACTTGAGACGAGGATGAATTTTGGAATGGTTTTTATTGCATTTGAAAGTAACTCTTCAAAGAGCATTTTAGAGATAGGTCATTTGTCAAATTTGGAGCTGAATTGAAGAAGTTATGATGTACCAAAGTTAACCCTTGTGCCAGATTGTTTTATCCAATGTCATACCGAGCTTCTCGTATTACTTTACTCAAGTTCACTCAAAATATATTGCAAGTCAAATTTTACTCTATTCATATTTGAGTTGCTTCAAAGTCTCAATACTATATTTTGAGTATGTGACTCGAATATATTTAAAGTTTAGTGCAAGTTAAAATTGACTCTAATTTTATCCGAGTCAATAGTTTCAAAACACTACTACAAAAGTGTAGATATATGTCAATTAAATTTGGCCATACATGATGGTTGATAATCATTACCAATAGATATGTCATTTCTTCTCTTGTCCAATTACGTGACTGCAAGAAACTGTCACGTATTGTCAAGAATACCCCTTGGTTCTACATCCAAAAGGGTAATATGTGTGTGTGTGTGTGTGTGTGTTAAGTCTTCTAATAAGGCCATGTGACCTACATGATGGATTCCCTTACGGGATGGTTTGTTTCACATAACCATCACGTAATTGATAATAATACATGATAGTTTTTTAACAAATAATGATCATGTCAGGTAGTTATTTAAAAAAAAAAAAAATAGGGAGCTGATTTTCGTTTCAACAACCCCCTGTATTACGATATTAAAAAACCAGCATATACAGCAAAACAGAATCAAGAACCAAAACACGATAACAACTAAATTAAATTACATACAATAAAAGCTAATCAAGTGATAGATTAAAATGTATACGTATATAATAATAATTTTATATTCTCAATAATTAAATAGCAGTGCCTCCTTTTCTTTTCCTACCTCTTCTTTTAAATCCATATTCTTCCATTTTGATCTGCCTAACACACAAATAATCATCTTCATTGAAACCTGTTTCAAGGAATGTCCCATGAAATGGATCATTCTCAACTCCATTGTCTTCATATCCCTCACCATCATTATTTATTTTATTACTCAACAAAATAATAGATAATCCATTATTAGCAGGATCTGAGACATAGAAAACTTGTCCAGTTTGAGAAACTAAAATAAAAGGCTCTTCTTTATACAATTTCTTATTCAAATTCAATTTATCAACCCTAGATCATCAATTCTCAAGGCATTGTTATTGTCAATCCATTTACATCCAAACATGGGAACCCAAAATTGGATATAATCCAACTCCAAAATGTGTTCAGTCACCCCAAAGCATGACATATTCACATATATAGGATTTTTATTTTTGGCACTTGATACATGCATGGTGTTAGCGACAAGAGTTATACCAGTATTTCACATTTTGCTCCGATCATCTTGTTGTTTGGTATAGAAGATAAACCCATTAATGATGTAGCTTGTGTAAGAAAGCAACTTGTTTGCATGGACTGTGATCTTGGACGTCGCAATTCCACCACAGCTTTTGCAATGGGCTTTTAAATCGCTACTAATAACGTAGTGAGTTTGACCAAATGTTTAACGGTTCTATATATAGACCATTTGCCACGACTCACTTTGTAGCCATTTGCATAAAGTAACACAAATTAACCGCAACAAAATACCACCTTTTTTGTTGTGCTATCACACTTTCTAAACTGTGCCCTCCACAATGGTCTAGAAAGAGTAGCTTAAATTAGTTGTTTTGTAGTAGTGTTAAACCAAACTACTATAAATTGCAGGTGTTAGCTGTTCTCTCTCTCTCTCTCTCTCTCAAAGTAGTTGTTGGTTCTATCCATAACTTTTCTCTGTTTTATAGTTCCATTCCGGTTTTAACATAAAAAATTGTTGAAACACATAATTCACCTTCTCTAGTGTGATTATAGTCATACTTACACATTTGATCATTATTACACATTAAATCCAAATAATAAAGAGAATTTATATTATATATAATTTATTACTTTAGGGTACTTATGAGCAATAATTACTGAAAACTGCTAGAAAATTATTCCATTGAGAGCTTATGCCATTGCGAAATCAAATTCCAAATAGGCCATTTTGAAAGGATAAAAACATTATCCAAAAGTGCATGATCATAATATTTACAACAATATTCCATTATATAAAATATTTCCGTTGGGTTAAACTCTGCATATCAAATCTTACAAACATCTTTAATTGCGTGTGCAGAGAGAGAAACAACCAGGGTTGATGGTAATGCCCATCTTGAATTTTAAAACTCATTAGTGATCCACTTGGGGCCTCCCAGAGCCACGTAAGCTATGGAAGGGATTTAAATAAATAGATTACATTAGGGTTATGTGGCTCCTATTTATTCTTGAGGAAGATTTTGCAAGTGCAATCACCCATTGAAGTTTTTAATCGTTTTATTCTCTTTTTTATTTTTTTATTATTGTCCAAATGGCAGCATTAACTAATACAAAAATAAATAAATAATACACACGCTCTCTCACGCAATCAAGAGCATTTCCAAATTTTGTTTTTTTTTTTTTGCGAAGTATATATATCTTCTTATTGGAAGCAATTCTATTTGAGATATTGTTCAACTCTAAATGTGAGCACTCACTTTGATGAGTACCTAAACTCATCAAATCTAGATCATTTATATTTGATTTGCATAGTTCAGATTTGAGATCTTTGATTAATTATTTTAAATAGAAAAAAACTATTTTTTTTAAAAAAATGATAATTAAGAAATTATTTTATTTTAGATTTCATCCATATTCAAATAATTATTTTGAACAAATAAAAAAAATCAAATCCTAACCATCCAAATGAGATATGAATGATCCAAATCTGATGGGTTTAAGGTGCTCATCAAAACGATGAGCACCGAAACTAGTTTCTTTTTTTAACAAGAATTCGGATATTGGTCCATAACATTGTGTAAATAGAAGTGGATTCAAACGCATGAGTGATTTCAGTGGGTTAAAAACACTTCTCTGTTTGTAACAATAATGGTATATTACCTATAGATTAATTTATGTCAGTTGGTCTCTGATCATGGGAAAGCTCTGACGAAAGTGATTTTTTTACAATCCATTAGTCAAATTTCCTATATGCAAATTATGTCAACATTTTTAATATTTTTGGAAAAATATCATATACTTTGATATTGTTGGATTTTGAATTAAAATAGAGAAGTATTTGAATTATATGAATTCTTTCTCGGATGCGCGCCGCTGAACAAATTTCATTTCAATGATTCGAGAAAGTAAAAAATGAGCAAAGATGCTAAAGGCATAAATAAAGGTATACTGGTATTTAGAGTAATAATACTGTTTCTAGAATTCGATATATTCAGAATAAATTTCAATATCCTGATACCGTTGAGTTGAACTATTATGGTATAAGTTTTATATTGAACTGAACAAAAATATAATATTCATTGACAAATCATTTCATGCCACAAATGTCCAACAACACCGGCTGAATACGGTTTGCAAGATTTAAATGATAATGTTTTTAAATTTTATATTTTAATTATTAATTGTTAGAGATGCGTCGCGTGAGAGTGTACAGCGCATGGTGAAAAGATGATAAGAAATGGACAAATGAAGGCCCCTCTCTTTCTTTATTGTTGCGTTTTGGTGATGCCATCGGTCTTATCATATCCACTTAAAAGTTAAAACGTGGATCAAAGAATGCAAGTTTTGTAAGAGAAAATGACTGAAAAAAACCTTGATATAGGAAATTCAAAAAGAGCAGCTAACACTTCAAAATAATAGGGGGAAAAAAAAGAAAAGCCTGAGCTGGAATTATGAAATTATGGGGAAATGATCAATATGTCCTTGTGTGACATAATATATGTGAACTCAAAATAATAACAATATAGCTTGAATTAATAATTTTGAATTGAAAATGACAATTTCTGAATTGGTCATCAGAACTTGTGATTAGGATATAACTTGTAAATTGAAAATAACATGTTATGAGCTGAAATTAATAACAACATAATTCAAAATAACAATTTGGTCACACAATTCAGAGCATATTGGTCATTTATTCATATTTTTATAATTCCAATTTAGGGATTTCTTCCTTTCTGTCATTTTGAAATATTAGATGCTTTTTTTTAAAAAAATTTCTATACCCAAGGTTTTGTTTTTGGTCATTTCCCCATTTTGCAAAGTAATGCAATCAATGGTCATCCAATTAAATTTGCA